TTGATGGGAAGAAGACTTACTGTATATATGAGGATAACTGTATTGAAATTCTCAGTCCTTGCACAAGCTTTCTATACTGTCTAAATTCTCAACAATTAGCACTTATCTTCACTACCCCAGAGGGGTACTGGTTCAGCTGGTTGGGAATTGGGAGGGATATCCTTTTTCAAAAAAGTGAGAAGATGGATGTCAAAGACTATTGTCAAAGGCTATTGAAGTATGGGCTATTCAGTCTAAGTTTAATTTCTGTGGGAATGGGAAAAAAGCAAAAATAATTTTAAAAAATGTCTTAAGAGCAGGATATACATATACATCAAGGTTCTATATTTAAATATATACTTTGATAGAAAGCATATTATTTCAAATCAATTTAATCAATTTCTATGACAGTGTAGTTGGTATTTTCAATAGGGAAAGTAAAAATTTGCACTTTATATATATGCCATATTTTGTTTCATTAAAGCTATATATAGTTTGATGGGGGTTTTTAATTATTTTTAATTAATAAAAGGAGATATGCCAGTGAATTTTATTATTTTTAACAATTATTTTCCAGCAATAATTTCTTGAAAAAAAATTAATATTACAATATATGCTTGTTGAAAAGATTAGCTCTGGAAATAGACCAATACAACTTACTGAAAATTGATCTAAATAAATTTAGGCTGTAAAATTCTCACTAAACTTCTTTCTGATATTTAACAGTGTCTGGCTAGGAACTAATTACTACCCTGACAAGCTAATTCAGTAGTGATAATCATGTGTGATGTAAAGACCATCTATCAAAATTTCTCCTGCTATTCCTTAGTGTGTATTCTTAAATTCTTGTAAATTAAAATAACACCGCTTTAGAAAGTCTACTTCTCTTTGAAATTATATTTTTATTGTAGCACTTCAATTAAAACTTAATTTTCTTTTTAGAACTTTCTCCCTGAAATCATGAATCTTCTTTTAACTTTTCCTGTCTATAATGGAGTTTCATTTTATTTTATGACATAAAGAAGAAATAGAAATTACTTGTTTGAACCCTTCCATTTTTGTCAGTTGTTCATGAGAAAGAGATGTGTTTTAGTAAACTCTGATCCTTTACCTCTTTTCACACATAACTTGGAAATTTCTTGGGAGCTTGAAAACCAACCTACCCTTCCTAAATTAGTTTATTTTACTTATTTAAAAAAAAAAAAAAGAAAAAGAAAAAGAAAAAAAAGAAAAAAACCTCACTTCTTGTAATACTTCTCTTTATACTTTTTGTACATCTTTTATACTTTTCATATACAGTTGAATCTGACTTTCTAGTGACTCTGTCATATTACTTTAAAAAAATCTTACTTCTGAATGGTTAAGAAATTATAAAACATAGGAGAGAGAGAAAATTATTTTTCTTTGTTAATACAAATAATACTGTGTTTGGAATTTCTTCCTTAATTGGATAGATAGTTGACATCAGTAGTGATGAAAGAAAAACACAAGCCAAGTAAAATTGGGGATTTTTAGTGACACACTGCTTTCACAATTAAAACTTCAGAATTAGCTTGCAGTTTGGTTACAATTAAGCACACAAATAATATAGTGATTTTAGTTTTTTTTTTTTGTTTTTTGTTTTTTGTTTTTTAACTGTGAAGGTAAGAACAATATAGTAAAATTGTTTCTTTAAAGGGTAAGAAAACCTGCCAAATCTTAAAAAAGGCATTAACCTCAAAGAAAGAAAATTCATTCACATCTTGGAAACTCAGAAGATGAGTTAAATTTATGATTAAATTTTAAAATTATTTATTATTTTATATACTAAATTAATGCTACAAATGCTGATTTAGTGAATTCTGTCGCTGTCATTCTGCTTACTTTATTGTTCTAACACCTAAAAGAAAATACATTTATTTAAAATATTATGCACAGAAGGAAAAAAAAAAAAAAAGAGGGGAAAAAAAATACAGAAAGTACTCAAATACAGAAAGGACTCAAAGCTTTTTTGTATATATATTTATAGAATATCCTTGATTTATACCATGACTTTTCTTTTAAATTACAGATTATTGTGTATTTCATTTTGTAGCAAAGGAGGATGAATGAATACACACAGATGAAAACTAGAATTTTCTGTTTTTATCTACACAGCGCAGAAATTGCTTTCACTCATTATTGTCTTTTCTGAAAGCTGTCTTTTTATATCCCATGAGTCTGTTCAGAGTACTGAGAAAGTTGGCACAAATGTAACTTCCTTTACTTCATTTGTTGCATCTGTTGTCAAAACATTTTAAACTTTAATGTAGAGAGGCAAGATATGATTGCACATACCACAGTGAAATGTGTTTAGTACCAGCCAATCTGTCTGAATGGCTGTTCTCTGAGTTTCTATTCCTGAACTTGCTAAACAGCCTGGACTTTAGATGGTTACGGCCTGGGATGAACTGAATTAGCAACAGTGTGTGTTGTCAGACAGATCAGCATTCTCATATCAGATGTACCCTATTTTGCCTGTTTCCTAGTTGAAGAAAGTAGTTTTATGTGTAGAGAAATCCTATTCTCAGGAATCCCCTAATTAAATAAAAAACTAAAACTACAACAAAGCTGAAACTGCTGTTTTCTTTATTGAAGTCTTAGATTCACAGATTATAAGGAAGTAAGTAATGAGGAAAGTTTTTGCTTTAACATTTTTGCATTCCCACTTTTTGTATGAGAGCCTTCCCTGCATCAGAATTTTGGAACAAAAAGTTAATTTTTTAATACACCTCCCAAGAGTAAGTAAGACTGTCAGCATTCAGAATAAAGGGACTTTCATTCCTTCCAAACACTGAGTGGGCAGATAAAAGGGTTTGAGTGATCTATTCATAATCTTCATTATTTTGAGGTGCTTGTTCAGGAAGTTTATTCCTCACTTCACATTGCACATAATCTTCTTAGCTGCTATTTTTTTACTAGGTCACAGACCTAGAACTCCTGACTATTCACAGTAACATTCCAAGTTATTGATGTCAGCATTTTTGGTTTCAGACTCAGCAGCATTTTCTTTGTAATGTCAGTATGTCTGTATTTCTTAAGATTGTAGTTATTGATTTCAATATCCATTCAAGATTCTTCCTCTTTCATTAGACCTATGTATCAATGGATACAAATACACACTGACCCAGACTCAGTCAGTAGACTTCTTGGGAGCATTCTAAAGTCCAAGTTACCGAAAACTACTTAACTACACAAGATGGGATGTTACTATAATTTGCTAGAGATCTGCTGAACATTCTACACATTCTCATCAATATTCAAGAAAGTCTATAATATCTAACTGTATGTGTGATACAAGTAAATGTACATTACACTTGTGAAATTTTCTGATTTAAATATTTTCGTCAGTTCAACATCTGAGTCAACAGACAGCAGACTGCATACACAGACGAGACTGCATCACGCTTTTGATCTAAGAAACATCTGACTGCCATAGAACGCTTCATTAAGTCACTCATCTTGTGGTGGAGGTGCTTATGCCACACTTGCTCATTTACTGATAGTAATGAAAAGAAATACTTTTCAATGTGGTCTGCCAATTGGTGTATGTCTTCGAATCAGTAGAACTCTAATACATATTTCAGCAGATTCTTAGTAGATAATAATGCTTTTCAGTTTGTGTTTTTTTTGTTGTTGTTGTTGTTTGTTTGTTTTGTTTTTACATTTTCAAGGATAAAAGTTGCCAAATGAATATTCTCCACTTGAAGTGTTCACATTCAGGCTCGCGGGAATATACTGTTTTTCTTCTGTAGGTTCCAAGGCTGATTTATACTTTTATATTTTGTTTTCTGTCTTTTGTTACTTTGATCTCTCCATTCAGTTGGAAGTTCAAATAATATTTGAATGACATATTGCTGAAAACCTCACTTAGCACCATGCTATTATAGTAATGAAGATTGATGATTTCATATATAAGAATGTGGTCATGAATTTTTTTTTTTTTCAACTTAATCATGCTGAAACTGTGCCATATTCTGAACCAGAATGAAATTGGACAATCTAGCTAGCTGAACCAGAGCTCCTTGGTTCTCAGTGGGATGGAATTGCTGAAAATTTAAAGTGGATGAAATTATAAATGCTTATTTCTTACAAATTATTACTTTACCTGTAATCTGTATTTTCCAGCCCATATATTAAGAATCTCAAATCTCTCCTTGTATTTACTAGGCATCAAACTGAGCAGATGATAGCACAAATTTTGGTTTGTGTATATCTGCTGTGTATGGACAAGCCATTGGCATTTTGAAGGGAGATGACATCAAGCTGAAGAGTGACTTTTGTAACTGGAGTCTTTTCTTTATCATGTTCATCATTTTCAGCAAGTCTGTAGGAATCCAGATATCATTACTATCAAATTTGATTAATATCAGTTATTCAGTTCAAGTTATATTAAGGTGACAGCTAAAGATCGGATGGATGGGGAGTGTGAATGTATAGTTATTGTTCCACTGGGAAACCAGTTCATTAAAAAAACAACAACAACAACAACAACAACAACAACAACAACAACAACAACAACAACAAAAAAAAAAACAGACACAACTCATCCGTTGGATTATTTTTAAGATTAAACTTCACTGGTTGTGTGATACAATTACACTTTTTTTGTTTGTTTGTGTACCGCACAGACATCTACATACAGTTAAACTATGCTTTATTACTCATAAAGACTTAGAATTTTAGAATTCAGAAAACATAAATGTAGGTGTCCTGCAATATTCCAGTAATGTGTGTGGGGCCATCTAAATACTTGATACTAGGTTATGTAGTAGATATATATATATATATGAATAGTCATTGACTAATTCTTGCAGGAGCCTCAGAGATTACTAGTTAAATTCCAACATATCTCCCTTATTGTCAAGAAATATCAGTGAATGTTATTCATTGCTGGGGAAAAGTATTTTCATTAACTATTTTAACTGGAGAGATAAGGCAGAAACTAACAACTATTTCTATGGCTTCAAAAGGTGTTTCCCAAATGTACTCTTCACTCTTTCTTTCTTGACATATCTATTTCCACAAGCATCTCCTAAATTACTCTTTTTTTAATGTTACTCACTATCTGTGAGTTATCTTTTCTTTACTTCTCAACCTCTTTCTACAAAGTTGTAGTTGTAAATATTCTGAATATCTGCCATTACAGCAGCAGTTTTAGATGTACAGGCAGAACTCCCAAGCCATTTCTCTTGTGTGATTTTTATTTTTTATTTTCTGGGAGGGGAGGCTGGAGGGTGAGGAATGGCGGGTCTGTTAATCAGAGTAAGAAAACAAAATATTTCAGATATAAGATTCACATCTCCGTATTCACAGCCTTCCTGAATAAGACTTTAAGAGGCAAGATAGATTTCCTACAGTTTACCTCAAGGTTCTTCTTTTCTTACTTTGCTTCTGTTCAGTCTCTCCTTTTACTGTGCTCTTGCTTTTAAGTTGCAACAGTATTAAAATCTGATAGTGCTATTTCTGAGGAAGATTTCAAATACAAGATTTTGTTTACTTTTAACTTATTTCTTGAGAAATTCTGTGTTTGGAGCAACTTCTTTCAGCGTGGGAATGTATTATTTTGATTTTTTTGTTCTTGTTACTTATCTCACGGTTTTTTGTTTGTTTGTTTGTTTGTTTGTTTGTTTAATCATAGTCGATTGGAAGAAAGACAGAAGATGCAGTATATTGCTCATTTAAGCAAAATAGTCTGCTCAAACAAAAGGGACAAAGTCATTGTTAATTTGTTATATCAACTGCAGTTATTGCCATACTTGCGGTTTCAATCTCAAAAGCTTCTAATAAACCAAGTTCTGCCTGCAGTTCAATGCAGATATTCACTTTGATTGATGCAGAAATCACTTATGATTTATTTTTTTGTTTCTGTAATGCCAGCTTAAGCAGAGATATCCTGCTGCACTTTTCATGTGTGACTTTTCATTTACCTTTTTAAAGTTTTTATAGTTATCATAAAGATATGAGCAGTTTTGCAGATAAAATACTGTAACCTCTTTATATGTGATGGGCATTTTTCATTATTAAGAGAATCATAGAAAAAGACCTTCAAGATCACCTAGTTCAACTGGCTACCTACCACCAGTATTTCTCCACTCAACCATGTCCCTTTGTACAGTATCTAAAAGTTTCTTAAACACCTCCAGGAACAGTGACCCAACAGCCTCCTTGGGCAGGCCTTTCCAGTGCCTAACTGCTCTTTTGGAGAATAAATCTCCCCTGGCACAACTTGAGGCCTTTCCCTTAGTCCTGTTGCTAGTTGTGTGGGAAGAGTAATCCACAAGGATTTTATTGATTAATAAATTAATCATCTTTTTGCTTTATGATGTCCATCACCAGCATGAGGGTAGTGAAGCATTGGAACGAGTTGTCCGTATAAGCTGTGGATGCCCTATCCCTGGAAGTGTTCAAGGCTGAGTTGAATGGGGCTATCAGCAACATGGCCTATGGGATGCTGTCCCTGCTCACAGAAGGGAGCTTGGAACTAGACAGTCTTTAAGATCCCTTCCAATTCAAAACATTCTATGATGTCTGATTCTATGTCAGAATTACAGATGAACGCAGATGATCACTGTAAAACTGTGAAGTTTTATTGTGTGATTCACCATCTTACCTGTTGTATATGAGGTTGTAGTAAATTCTTGTGGATGCATGCGCTGTAAGACAGGCAAACTAACTTCCTTTGTTTAAAAAAAAAATGCAAAAAAAAAAAATACTAATCAAAACATGTGAAAACAATTTATCTGGTATACTCCTTCACTTATCTATTGGGTAATTACTTACTGAAATATTTAGATTTCCTAATTTTATTAAAAATGTTTAACAGTTGTTAATTTGAATGCATTCATTTAATGATTTTTTTTAAGACTTCAAATTATTCTCCATATAAAATAACTAATTTTATTTTAAAATAAATAAATCAGGACAGAAGGTTGCTATATTGTGAACAGTCATTAACAGTATATTAGTGATTTAAAATACTGCTTTTTTATTATTATTATTTTTATTTTTTGCTTCAGCAAATGACTTTTTAATTTATCCTACATGCAGACTCACTGGATCTAGTGTTCCTGACCTTATTGTAAGCATGAGCAACCAGATGTGGCTTCATTTACAATCTGATGACAGCATTGGCTCACCAGGATTCAAAGCAGTTTATCAAGGTACAAACTAAATTAACCACTTTAAACTGTAACATTCTTCATACGTTGCAATAAATCTTCAAATACGTTTTTAGTCATTTCACAGATTTGTATTTTTGATGCTGTTTCTGTTGTTGATAATGGAGATGTATAAAATAATTTGAAAGGATCTGAAGAAAAAATGAAATTTAGTGTGATAATGCTTTTTCTTGAAGGTCAATACAAACAAACAAACAAACAAACAAAAAAACCAGATTTCTATTATGTTTGGAAAATCTAAAATGTTACGTGCTGCTGACCTTTGAAATTCTTTATTACAGATACTATCTGAAAAGTATAGTTAGTTTTCTGTGAATTTACTGATGTAATTACAAAACTGAAGTTTCATGCAGCACTGAGGATCTTTGCAGATCTAAGTCAAATTTAATATGGAATAATGACTATTAATGGAAAACTTCCATCACTCTTCCCTTCCATGGAGCATTTGTGTTTGGCTGGTTTAACCTATCTGTGTTCATATCTTTTTGGTGATAGACTCAACAAGTTAAAACTTATCAACAGTTGAAAGTCTGTTTGCCTCTGTGTTAAAAAATATTGTGCATTGCAACAGTAACATATTTTCTAAGAATGAGAGAGAATTTCTTTGTTTCAGCTCAGCTAGTGAACATTACTCTTTTACTCAAGCTTTTCTGGAAAGTATTTTTATATCATAATTAAATATATTCCATATATGAAATAGCTCAGACATTTTTACTGTATTGTAGAAAAACAAAATGTTATATGGCTTTTCATTCAGATTAATAATTGAGTATGTAATTATTAAGTATTTGATTTTAAGATGAATGTTACTAATTCTAATTTAATTAAAAGTTTACCATAGCCATATTTTTTAAAAACATCAGCTTTACAAAGTCTTTTTAAAGACTGGAATGGGACAGATTCTAAAAACGAAGCTGATATTTTCTGAAAAGGAAAATAAGATTGAAATGATAATTAAATATAAGCATTATTTGATTTATATATATACGTATTCATATATATATATTTAGATGTATTCATACGTACATTCATTTGTTGGTACTCTTTTCCTTTCACTGCAAAAAAATCCAATAAATGATGGAACTAGACAGATTTCCTTCTAATCTCATATAGTTTGGAAATTTGTTGATAGAATTTGGAAAATTGTCTATTACATTCTATTTAATTCATACAATCAAATACACTAAGGTTTTCTGCATTTTTAGCTTTCTGTGAGGCTCCTATGGTTTATTCATTTAGTAAGCTGGATGTGTAAATTCTATGTACATGTATGTACATGTAAAGTCAGTGTTTTAAATCTCAACTTTGTGGACACTACATGTTTGTTTCTTTCTCTACGATGAATGTGTGGGCCAAATTTTTTTGGAAAGTCCTAGTCTTAGTTGATTCAGTTCAGATAAAAATTTCATAGAACAACTTTATAATTTTATGGAAATGAAAATTTGCAGTAGCTTTTTACCACTTTAAACTTCTACTCTTTACTGTTTTTTTAATGTTTGTTTTTAGTTACAGAAAATGCCACGGTGTGTGTTCCACAGCCATAGCTGTTTAGCTACATTACATATAAAGACAGTCCTTTCACTTTTTTTGAAATAATTCTAACAGTTTACTAGTATGTTTACATATTTGAAAAAGGAGTGAAATAAGTGTCACTTTAACATCTACTGAGATTGATTTGCATTCTTAACCGTTCTTCATTATTTCTAACATTTCTGCAAATTATAGTCCAAAAGTTTGATACATCACAGCTAGGCAGCAATAGCTATCATGGGTTTGTTCTTTCAAGAAATACTATCATAAATTCATATTATAGCATCTGATTTTTGTGGCATCTTTTCTAGTTCTTTTGTTGTTCTTTCTGTTTTATTTATTTATTTATTACTTGCCCCCTCCCATATGAGTTATACTGCCCTTTGCTTTGAAAACCAACAGTTCGATTTCAAATTAGCAATATGTCAAGCTTTCATATTGTTCCCCCAGTGGTGCCATTTAACATTGTTTTCATTTTCCTGTCTGTATTATTTTAAGTTACAACCCACAGTAACAATTTATTTTCCTTAAATGTTGTTATAGCTGACACACTTTGGACTAAATTCTAACATTTACATTTGCTCCTGGAGGAATTTGTGAACCAGCCAATGAAGGTGATAGCTTATCAATAAAATCAATCAACGTTATGTTAAAAATCTAGCCAAATGTATATATTTTTTTTCTATAGGAGGAAATGCAGTATTACTGTTGTTTACTAAACAAAACAAACAAACAAATAAGTTGGGGGACAGGGGGAAAGCATTCTTTCTAGAAAATATTTATAGTACAGTATAGGGAAAAAATATATATATTAAAAAAAAAAAAAACATAGGAAATTCAAAAAGGAGTAAAACACTGCTTTTACAATTCAAATGATAATCTTGTGCAAAATCAACCTTTGACTTGTACAAGACTTTCTGTATATATATTTATGATTTTGGCATAACACTATTTTTTTTTTTTTTTAATAAAACAGTAAAGGATAATTTGATATATCAAATATCATCAAACCATAATTCACATGACATGCTGGTGAAACATGTTTATTTGACAGATTTCCCTAAAAAGCTGACATACGTATAACTTTGTTTACAGTTAAGTCTTGGTGGTGTCAAGTTTTAAAAATTTGAAAATACATATTTATGCATTTAAAAATATTTAAACTGCATTTCATCTATTAGTTTTGCTGAAATGAAAAAAAGTCATTTATCTCTTGTCCACAATGTTAATTATGTATCCCCTTGCTGCATTTCTTTTTATAGTCATCATTACCTGCATGGTTTTTTTTAATATTCTTCATCTGTAGCATTATCCATATATTATTTCTGAAAATAATAACAAATATCTCTATAATTGCAAAGGCGTTGGTTCTTGTCTCACTTCAAAATTTACCCTACATTGCTTTTATATGCATATTGGAATACATTGCATACTGCAAAATGCATACTGAACATCTTGTGTAAAAAGAAAACAGTTTAACTTGCATTAATTTTTATTATCTGTGAAAGATATATCCTTAAGTTACATCCACCTATAAAACAGTGATAACAGTCCCTGGTAATAGGTGTTATTTTTTAAAAATAAAATATATATGAGGTTATGTCTACAAGGAGATACCCAGAGCAGTTAAAATTAACAGAGTGTAATAAATTTAAACTACAGATTTATCTCAGTAAGCTACCTGAAATCCCTGTAAAGGGGCTCCTCTTCAGTTACTTTATGACCTTCTGTACCTGCAGGTTGATCTTCTTTGAAAGAATCCTCTGGGGAGGATTAAAGTTCAGTAATCTGGGGACAGTGATACACCTGAATGAGAAATTCATGTAGACACACATGCTCTGATGTGATCTAATTTATAAGCATAGACCTTGTGACATCAGTTGATGACCATTACTGAATGCCATGATAAAGCGATGGTTATTGCACCTGAAACAATTCTCTTCTAAATAATAACAATAATAATAACTTTTTTTTTTTTTTTCAGTTAATTATCAGAGAATAATGTCCAATTGGAAGTTTAACAATGTAGTGATTGCATTATTTTCTAAAAGTGAACCTAAATACAGATATTCATGTATGTATGTACACATGTTTGTGTACGTGCTTATACATCTCTAGGCTCACACACCCTCTGCTTATAGGAAAAAGTCCAAGTATAATTCACAGAAAAGAGATTCTCTCTTCATTTTTTTCATAAAACTATGTCCAGCCCCTATTAAAAAAAAAAAAAAGAGAGTGTGTGCAAAAGGTTGATAGGCCTCACCACAACGCTGAGGTGAGAAGTGCAGTCCAGTTCAGCCGATGAAGAAAAGCAGATGAAGAAAAGCAGATGAAGAAAAGCAGACGAAGAAGCACAGGTGAAGAAGAGCAGGTGGAGAACATCAGGTGACCTTGCCAGAAGTTACATTTCCTTGGTGATCTCAAAGCCCCCTGGGAAATGTAGTTCTTTTCCTCCAGACAGGCAGCCGGAACTTGAGCATCAACAGTCAAACCCCCAGTGCATTTCATGATGTTATGATGTGGAATACTGATAAGCAAAAATCATAAAACCATGACACAACTTTAATAAATTGTTTACCTCCTTTCAAGAGATTAAGAAATTTGAAGTACAAATAAAGATATGTTTCTTGGTAGGCATCAGTTTGAAGAGCTTTCCGTGTGATGTGGTGTAGAAATGTCCTTGAGCATTTGTAACTAAATCAATATTTAAAATAACATCAGTGCTTTGGGAAGCAGCAGTAGAAGCTTCTATAAATCAGATTCTCATTTTATTATATTGTCTAAGCAATTAATCTCATAATTAGTATCATTACGTTTGTATTTGCATTTGGAACACAAATAAGTACTAGCATGAGTTCATGTTTTTGTCTTTAATTAGCTTTATATTAATAATTTAAAATAGCTTCTTTGCCAATTAACAGAAAAATATAATGGTTTTAAATTTTCCACCTTCAATATGATTTAAAAAAACAAAAACAACCATATATCACAGAATTGTGGGGTTGGAAGGGACTTCTAGAGAGCATTTAGTCCATCCACCTGCTAAATCAGGTTCTCTACAGTAGGTTGCAAAGATAAGTTTTAAATATCTCCAGAGATAGAGACTCCACGACTTTTTGGGCACTCTGCCTCATGTCCATATGGAACTTCTGTGTTATTGTCTGTGCCCATTGCCCCTTGCTCTGTTGCTGGGCACACAAATCCATAACACAATAATATTTCTAATTCCACTGCTGTGAAATAGAGTGCATATACTTTTAACACTAGAAATCTGTATTATGATACAATAAGTAATACATGGCAATATTAGAAGAATCAACCCTGACTTTCATTATAATTTTCTTAGAAATGATCTAGGACACCACTGATACATTGTTTGCTAGTAGTTTTGTGATCTGTAAGAAAGGCAGGTACCAACATCACTGAGCATCCCTTTCTATGATGGACTTCTG